AATAGATCATTTTTTTATAATGGAAATATTGCTTGGAAGAGATATCTTTTGAAAGCTTTATCTAAGTAAATATTTTCGTATGAATTTTAATTTTAATCTTATTATTTCGTTTTAGCCCGATGTTTATTATCACCAACACGAAATTTTATTGACAATATCAGCAGTTACACATATATGAGTAATATCAATCACACTATATGTTTTATCTCTCTATTCTTGATCTATTTGGTTCAGTCATTTTTTAACAATGTTTCGTCCAAATATCTTGAAAATCCTTATCATTGGTTTTGTTGTGGTCGACGAATACTCATACTTTTTGTTGGCTTCTCTATTTTGAATCAAATGGTCAGTGCCAGTGCTTGTAGACCAATCGAAATTTTCTACGACTTGCAACATATGTGGATGTTCATACTACAATTGTTCAGCTTTCTTAACTGTATTGGTTTTGCTTTCTTTCTTGGTGTTAAATATGTATCAGTTAGACCTGAACATCGCCTGTCAGCATATGAGTAAAAAGTTGCAGAAATGTACGATGATAAAATCTTTCTCTATAAATATACAAAATAATAAAAAATACTACTGTTTTGTTTTTGTTTGTACTATTAAATCGATACTTTTCATCAATATTACGTTTAACCCATAGTAAATAAATATATGTATTGAAAAATCATCATGTTTCGGCAAAAAAATTGAAGAATCAATCTAAACATCACTTATATCGAATTATTTACTAAATATTGTAAAATTTTAAAAAGTCATATTTTATTTTGTATGAGATTGATTAATGTGTATTAGTTATGCAACTTATAAAAAAAATTAACAGATGTTTATATTCCCAGCTTTATAGAAACGCTACTCAACTAACATGATATGAGCAGCCGATTCTTTTATACCAAATGCAATTAAAAATCAAACGACATTGTCGATTTCGACGGTTTCTAATTTTTCCTCTTCTTTCGATCATTGTATTCTTTATTTTGATCAAATCTTTCATCTATTCGCCGTCAAATCTTGATTTCATTGAACTAAACTCGTGTCCTGCTTGCTTTGGTGTTCATCTTTGTCCTGTTTTTGGAACACATCATGTACAATTATCAGGTTTAATAACAACAATAACAATTATTTATTATCTATCACTATTCATATAGGTTGGCAACGTTTTTCTTTTTTCAACAATGATATGTTTAATGTTAAAAATATTTATTATGGTACATTGCATAATCATTCAGTTATTTTCAAGAAAATGGCTCATCAAAGTGAATGGATTACATTTGATAATTGTCAATACAAATCATCATGTTTTCGTCATCTGAAATCACCTTTATCAACACTTCTACCTTGTTCAAATATAACATTTATTTCCAAATTTCGAAATGCGTAACTCAATAAATATATGATTTATATAAACAAACGATTTATTTTATCATTAAATAGATTTATTCTGTCAACTGATTTTGATCCCAATGATAGTGAAATATCATTTCAAGTAACAAGTCAAATAAATCTTGAACCCATTGTTTTATCCGTACAAATAGATGAAGATATATATATATATGTATAAATATTGATGATTATATTTATTTGTAGAGTTTATCCGGTAGTGGACTTCCATTTCCATTCTATTATGGTTCTTGTGGTCGAGTGGTAGTTGTGAGTGATGAAGGATTAGACTTGGTTTCTTATCTTCATTCATCATTTCAATTTCGTGTGAGTTTTTTTTATATGATTGAATTCAATAAATGTCAATTGATAATCACTTAATCTTATGATATTTTTCCAGGCATTTCTCGCTCGAGAATTACTTATTTCCATGTATGAATTGAACAATAATAATTCAGAAATGATTATTTATTATCCTGATGTGAATCTGGAAAATTTTGTTTATAATGAATATGAACGACGTGTAAAAATCATTGATTTAGAATTGGTAATTATTGTTGAACGAGAATTCTTCTTAGAAAAGAATAATGAAAATGCATTGAGTGGTAATCAATACTGTAGAACATATATGTCTGATTTTAATATTGAACAAGGTAATATCAAAAGTAAAACTTTCTTTATTTTGATAATGTATAATTTAGTTTGTCGCTATATCTTATCAAAACCTAGTAAAACAAATGAATTAGAAATGTCAAGTGATTTTCTACATAGTATTCCTAATGGTATTGATCATGAAGTAAATCTATCCAAGACAATTCTAGCATGTGTTGAAGCTAAATCAAGCAGTGAACGACTAGCTATTTATAATAAACTTCTTGATATTTTAAGTAAAATTATATAAAATTTGTCAATTGAGTAAGAGGACGCTGAATGTCTATCAATGATTTAATCGATGTCAAGCGATTGGTTTAATAATATTTGAATCACCAACTAATCATATGATAACATATTAATAATATATATCTAAAAAACAGATAAATAATGAAATTTAATATGTAAAGAAAATATTTTGTCTTTTTTCGTTTCTGTTGTCATTTTATTTTAATAAAAATCTATCAAAATTATATTCTCTCTATAGTATAGATGACAACTTGACAGCTGTTACATGACTAAAGATAGAATAAAAGATTTACAACATGTTGTAAGATCAATCTCGTTGTTTTCTTTTTAATCATTTTTTTTTATCTTTTCTATTTGAAAGAATCCACGGCCCGATGTATCATATGAAAGACTATCACAACAAGTATTAATATTCTATCTGCACATAAAATGCACACAGCTTACAGGGCAGTATAACAATTATCTTAACGAATAACAAGCAATATTAAACAAATACATCTTATGTGTATATTTGCTTATCTAATATTGGTTTCTTATGCATATATAATTTGCTTATGTTACACTCACTATATTAATAAAAAAAACGATTGAATTTCATTTTCTTCATAGTTTCCAAAGGATGGAGCTCAAAATCAATCTGACACTACAAATAATCAATCGACTATAATTGATGTTGAGAAAGATTCTGACATAAAAGAATTTTTAAATGAAGTATATATTCAACTTTCGTCTTATTTGGTTCAAAGATGTATAAAATTTGATTTTTCTATTAGATTGAAACTATTCAATCAGTTATTAATAGACTTGATAAACTTACAGAACAAGCTAAACAAATTCATTTTACAATGCTACAACCTACAGCAAATCCAAGTATAAAATAAAACTATTTAATATGATTTATAATTTCTCTTTTGAAATAGAATCAGGACAAGAACTCGATAATAAAACCGAAGAAATTAAAAAATTATCATATGAAACATCTGCGAAATTGAAAAGTATTAAAGAACAAAGAGTAATGATTAATTGATATTCATTTTTCTTGTATAGAAATGGAACAATCATTAGAACATCAGTCTGGTCTTGATATAACAAATGCTCAACGACGTATAAAAGAATCACATTTATTCGTATTAACAAGACATTTTCGTAATGTAATGATAGAATATAATCAAGAAGCTGTTTTACATCGTGAACGATGTACAAATGTGATTTCTCGTGAACTTGCACTGTGTAAGTTATATACATAATTTATGCTAAAAGAAAATTTTATTATAAATATTTTACAGAAATTAAATTATTAATAAGTTGGATTGAGGAAATGTTTACAAATAAAAATTTCGATGAAAGATACAGCGAGTGACAAAGTAGATATTAGTAGTTGACTTTCGATCTGTTTTCTTTTGGAGTTAATACATCGAAATCGAAACTAAATTGTTCGGTGTCGGCACATATGTATTCATCATTATTTATAAACGGATTTAGGACAGTTGCTCGCTAGGGTGTGTGTGTTGAAACAAAAGAACACCCACACCAAAACCGGTAACCACGCCCATACTGACACCTACGTTCACATCCACGCCTACACCCTCACCCACACTGAAATTCATACCCGCATCCTCACGCACACCCACACTCATGCCCTAGCGAGCAAGTGTCCTACTGAGCAATTGTTCGACGAGCAAGTATCCATACGAGCAAATGTTCTAGCGAGCAACTGGCCGTCTCCCTTTATAAACATAATTATTGTATGAATATAGGGAGTACGGTATATTAATTCTTTTAGCTTTAGTTGACAATAAATATGATATAAGTGTCAACAAGTGGAAATCGAAATTTTTTATACTTTCACTTTTATTTCTTATTTAAATATGAAAATAATTTTATCTTAGAATTAGATAATCAAAATCTCACTTATCCAAGCTTAAGATTTTTGATATTCTTGTTTGCTATGAAATTAATTTCTAATTCATTCTTTTCTTTTCATAGCTGGAGTTAGAAAAAGTCATGATGAATTAGAAGAAATCCTCGAAAATGGTTCTTCAGGAACTTTTGATTTTTCTGTAGGTTTGATATTTTATCAAAAACTAATAATTCATTAAATTGAAATATATAGGTTATGGTTAAAACTCAACAAGCACAACAATCATTAAATGCAATTGAAGCACGTCATCGCGATATAATTAAAATTGAAACGTCTATTAAAGAATTACATAATATGTTTCGTGATTTAGCTATTCTTGTTGCCGATCAGGTAGAATAGATTCTATATATTTCTATAATTTATTGTTCATATTAAGGGTGAAATGATTGATTCTATTGAACATAATGTTGCAAAAGCAGCGAATTATGTTGAAGTTGCAGCAAAAGATGTAAATATTGTCACTCAATATGTACAAAACATTAGAAAAGTAAAATATTTTATTATATATAATCTATATTCGTCAGTTTGTTTTTCTTATAGAAAAAATTTATTCTTGTTACAATTATTGTATCCGTTAGTGTGGTTTTTATTCTTATTACTATATTTATTGGTTCTTTTTTACGAAAGAAAACTACAGCAAAATAAATATATATTTGATAATTAATAATTCATTTTTATATAGTATTATAGTTTTTCACATAGATTAACAAAAATATTTGTATTATTTTTATCTTTTAATAATATAAAAAAGAAATGAAATCAATAAAAATCAATAAATACGAAGCATTTTCGAATTTTATCACAGTTTGGAATCTACACGTGGTCTAAAAAAGAATAATAATAATTATTTTTCGAAATAGTTTTCATCAAAAAAAAAGAATAGTTTACTTATTGAATGCGGCAAGGCGATAGATACCAACAACACATGCACCACCTAAACCAATATTATGTTGAAGTGCAATACGAGCATTTTTAACTTGTCGTTTATCAGCTTGATTACGTAATTGCCAACAAAGTTCAGCACATTGTGCTAAACCTGTAGCACCCAATGGATGACCTTTAGAAATTAAACCACCACTTGGATTAACAACACATTTTCCACCATAGGTATTATCACCTCGTTCGACATATTCTCCAGCTTTTCCTAAATTAATTTTTTTTTATTGTATACATTTTCATATTTATAAATGAATATTTACCTTCTCCGCAAAGACCAAGAGCTTCATATGTAATAAGTTCATTAGCAGAAAAACAATCTAAAAAGATAAAGTTACTTTTTAGCTACTATGAACTTTTTTTAGTATTCGACAGAAGAATTCGAAATCTATTCTTTAAAGGATATAAATAATTACTACAATTCAATTCGATTCGATCTGAGCTAAAAGCCAGTTAGAACTTGAGCACCATAGGGTGCCTGATAAGATTATGTGCTGAGAGACTATCATATTCAGACAGAAAAACATTTCCTAGAAACTATGTAGGATGCAATAACAACCTTCTTAATCATTAAAAGCTTTTAATTCTTTTATCTTGAAAGACGAAGAACCCTATTGACTTAAGTATGATCCGTATTAGAGTTATTACGTATTTTTTTTACGAAATTATAATTTTGAAATACTTTCTGTTAGTTTAATACACTGCAAGTAGATGTGTTGACAACATTTACTCGTATGAGACGATATTTAGCAAACAACAGATAGAAAAAGGTAAAAAATACTTTTATCAAGATTTTAAATATCGCCTGACTATGATAAGAAACATACCAGGCTAGCTTTTTCTTTGATATATAACAGCCTATCATGGGGTCAAAAATTACGAGTACTAGTACGTACTTTTATAATTTTATCAAATAACAAATATCTTTAAACTATCGCTCTATGAGAATTATTCTTCTAATTTCAAAATAGATTACCATGTAATTCGACTACTTGTACATCGCTTGGTTTGACACCAGCTTTAGCATAAGCTTTGTCAGCAGCTTTTTTACTCATATCATAACCGACCTATATAAATCATAAATAAATTTTCATTAAATTTAATTATCAAAAAAAAAGACTCTTACAATTCGCATACAATCATTTGAATCAAATGTTGATGCCATATCAGTTGCCATTTCAATAGCAAGTATTTCAACAGCAGTTTTTCGTACTTCAGGATGTTTTTCAATATAACTTTCACTAACAATGATTGCAGCTGCACTACCATCTGATGTTGGACTATATAAAAAGAAAATAAATTGATCGAAAAATAAATCTTTATTTCTATTCTTACCAGCATTGTAATTTTGTTAATGGATCATGAACCATTGGTGAGTTTTTGATTTGTTCTAAAGAATATTCATCACGAAATTGAGAATATCTAAATAACAAATAGTTTCGAAATTTTTTAAAAATAATAAAAACGTTCTTACGGATTATTTACGGAATGTTTATGATTTTTCCAAGCAATTTTAGCAAATACATCGGGTGAAACATCTGTAAAAGATAATCAATAGTCTTGTTTTAATTTACTTTCTGTTTTTTTTTAAATAACATACTATATTTTTTCATATAATCACGACCAGCATTACCAAACATTTGAGCAGCAGCTGGTCCACTTTCAAAATCATATTTTTCTGTCATTGATTCAATATGTTTGTCCATTGGATTTGTACGATCGTTAAACTTTCAGAATAAAAGAAAATAATTTTAAAAATAAAAATACAAAATCTATACTTGTGATGTTAATGAACCACGTTGCATTTTTTCAAAACCAAGTGCTAATACACAATCAGCTAAACCTATATCATACAAGAAATTCAATTTTTATGATATATGATTTATTTATAATTTTTCTACCTCCTGCAACATGTTTCGAAGCTAAGTATAAGGCAGATGCACCTATTTTAAAATGAGATCAAGATTTATTATTGATTGTAAAAATATACTAGCTAACCGGTAGAACAATTGTTATTGACATTGATAATTGGTAAACCAGTCATACCAAGTGGATAAAGAGCTCGTTGACCACATGTACTATCACCTTAAAAAATTTGTTTAGATTAATCGAGTTTTATAGAAAATATAATTCGAATATACATTCACATTTATCGGACTATAAAAAATCTGTTAGATGATTTAGGGAAATTTCTTATAGTCTAAATAAATCATCTAAAATGACTGATGAATTGCATAAAGATGATTCGTATTTTGACAATCAGCTATTTTCTTAGTAGTTTACAATACTTTTACGGTATCTACTCTGATTAATTACGCATAACGAGTTTTCTAATTAAAGCAAAAGGTTTCGCATGAAAAGAAAACCAGTTAATTAATTTATTTTACCATAAACATAACCAACAAAAGCTTGTTCAAAATCTTTGTATGATATTCCAGCATCTTTAATAGCATTTGTAACAGATTCCTTAGCCATATCTGGATAATCAAAATTTTCTCGTCGACCTGGTTTTTCAAACTACAATTATTCAATATTTATAATAAATCAAATTTTTCTGGAAAAGAAAATTTTTTTAAAACCTTGGTCATGCCAACACCAATAACAAAAACTCGATTTACAGCTCGACTCATGTTGCTGCTTTCACCAGTTGATATCTACCTGCAAAGACTTGCCGTTTATTTAACTATCTATTTCGTTAACTTCACTATCAGATAAATGATGACTCATCGATTATTTCTGATTGGTTAAAAACAAGTTTTTATAGTGCACAAATGATTTGATTATAAATAGAGTAAAGGAAAAAGAATGCAAATGTCGATTCTAATGGTATCTTGTTAAGAGTAGTTTGTCGGCAAGTATTCCAATACATATCAAATAATGATTCATCGACATATTTTGTTTTATTTTCTATATTACAAATCAAATATATACATATGTATACATGTCATGAATATTTTTATGATTTTTTCAGATTATTTTTAATGTCATGATTTGTCTAACAGAAATCTAACTAATTTCTAGTATTCGCATTCAATGACAAAAGATCGATTACCCGCTTTGCGGGCTGTATGTATTTTTGTTTTATTTCGAATACTATAATTAATTTAAAAAAATAAATATTTAGGCACAAAATGCTGAAGATAGCGATCCAGATGCAGCTTATGTTGCACTTAATATGGAAGATAATAGTCGATTTATGTCCGATTTTTTTGCTCATGTCGATTCATTACGTACAAATATCGATAAAATAAGTGAACTTGTTGATGAAGTTAAACGTCTTCATTCAACAATATTAGCTGCACCACAAGCTGATGATCGAACAAAAGAAGAATTAGAAGAAAAAATGGCTGATATTAAAAAATTAGCTAATGATGTACGACAACGATTAAAAAGTGAGATACGAATGAATATACCTAAACTCGAGATATATATTTCTATTGAATAAAATAAAATTTAGCTATGGAAACTGAATTAGAACAGGAAGGAAATGAAAATGCATGGCGTACAGCCGATTTGCGTATACGAAAAACTCAGGTGCCATTTTTTTAAATGTTGTTTAAATCCCATATATATTTTGTTATTAAATGTTGTTTTGTTTGTGATTATTTATTCCTTTGTTTTCCCCCTATTACAGCAATGGAAGATGATCAAGAACAATCAAAAATTTTAACTCCAGCACAATCAAGAATTGGAAAAGCACAGGTAGTAAAAACAGCAATCAATATACGACACAATACGACGATTGTTTTGACATCTCCTAAAGTTCTTCTTTAAATGTTTTTGTTTATTTATTGAGATAGTTAAAGAAAATTCTATTTTGTTTAGCATGCAACATTATCACGTAAATTTATTGATGTAATGAATTCATATCGAAATGCTGAAATTGAATATCGAGAACGTTGTAAAGCTCGTATTCAACGTCAACTTGAAATCAGTGAGATATACTAAATGTCTTAATATCGTATTGTGTCGTTTATGCTTTTATGTTAAATGTTGCTTATGTATCTATGTTGTTTTGTGTTTCATAGTTATATGTTTTAACACAAAAATTTCGTGATGTTATGAATGATTATAATCAAGTACAGGTGGCCTATCGACAAAAATGCAAAGAAAGAATACAGCGACAGCTTGAGATCAGTGAGAAAATTATTATTTGCTTCTAATATATATTGTTTTAATTATATTGATCAATTCAAAAATATTAAACTATTATTTGTTGAATTATTCTAGCCGGACGATCAGTAACCGAAGGTGAAGTTGAAGAAATGCTTGAATCAGGAAATCCAGCTGTATTTACACAAGGAGTAAAAATTAAACAATAAATATTTTTTTATCGGAAATCTTTTTATGTACAATTTTCATATAGATTATGGTTGAAACAGCACAAGCTAAACAATCACTAGCTGATATTGAAGCACGACATGGTGATATTATAAAACTAGAAAAAAGTATTAAAGAATTACATGATATGTTTATCGATATGGCTGCTCTTGTTCAAACACAAGTACAAAAATTGTTATCTTTCTAATTAGATTTAAGAATAAATGGGTTTTTTTCTTCAAAGGGTGAAATGATTGATCGAATTGAATTTAATGTTGTTCAATCAGAAAATTTTGTCAAAGCTGCAAGTACAGATACGAAAAAAGCTGTTAAATTTCAAAGTGCAGCACGACGGGTAAGTTCAAATGCTATAGGTATTCATGTTGTTGTGTTTGTGTGTGTGCGTGTGCATGAATATGCTTGCTTTCTTAATGTTGATAAAAAGCTTTTTTGTGTTCTACTGATCTATTATTTATAAGAGTAATGATCAATAGGGAATGACAGTCATTTTTTTCATATTTTTCACCAATAAAATCAATAAATAAGGACTATTATTTAGAAAAAAATTATCCTTATTGTAATCCTGGTGATTGTTGTGATTGTTATTGTGCTTGTGCTTATTGTTTATTTTGCTACGAAAAATTCTGGCAGCAGCAGTCCATCATCAAAAACGATTGCTATATCAGGATAGATAGATTTTATATAAATATTCAAGCTTACAATTGCTCATGGTGTGGATATAGATATATATAAATCTATTTATAAACAAATCCCTTCTTTTTATTTGAAGAAGTTCATTCTTATTATCGGAATATGTGCTGTCCTGATTATCCTTGTGGTTATTGTTGTTGCAATTGTCTTAGCCACGAGAAATTAATCTTTCCTTTTTTTATTATTTCTTATTGAAATTTATGTATACGTTGTGAATCTATGAATTGCTTTTTTGAATGATTGTGATTTCTTTCCTTTTTTTTTGTATTTTCAAAAGATCATATGAGAATTTATTGTACAGATACACACGCTTATTGTCTTTCTTCTTTGATTTTGCTATTATTATTTTTTTTTGTTTTGTTTGCATGTGATCAAGCACTATATTATATTTATATCATTAATCATATATTTATTTTTCTGTCGTATTTTGTTGCTTGTTAATTTGTTATGTTCATTGAATTACACATCTCTATATAAATGAAAAAAGAAAAGAGACAAAGAATATATATATGTCACACCTCTTGTAAACCCGCTCCTCCTGCTTAGCTTGGGTATTAAATAAGTCTAGGAAGAAAAAAAAGTCAATGTATTCATATAATAGTTATTGACTGTTCGTGGTGGTGGTTGTTGTTTGCTTTATGCCCTTTTATGATGAGAATTGTCATCAACTTAGAATGGTCTAACACCATTGAGTATTTCTTTTTTTCTCGTCGCTTATTGTCTTCCGGTTCGTTGCCTTCGACTATTGAATTATCATTCTTCTCTTTTTTTTCTGTTTTTCCTCTTTCTACATCATTTCCAACAAGCAGTAGTTTCATATATTCACTTCAAAACACACATAATATATTCTTTCTTATGAAAAAAAAAAAAAAATAAGAAAAAAAGAAAAATGTTCTCTATTTACAATAATTCATATTATATCGGCTCTTAGTATTCTTATTCTAACCGAGTTCATTTAAAATTCAATTCTTTAGTGAAAACTATTAATAAAAAAGAAAAAGAAAAGAAAACTATTTGCAATTATTCAATAGATGCTAGTTCGTTAGTTTAAGAAAAATATTACGATCAGTATATATATGTCCGGTGGCTTTTTATGTTTACATGTTATTTGTGATTATGTCTTGTATATGAAATATAACAAAAAAAAAGTTAAAGATAAAAATTTTTCTTTTCAGAAAAAAATTATTATACTCATTTGTTTGGCTGTAATTATTGTTATTCTTGGATCGATGGTAGCTGGATGGCTAGGCATCAAAAGATAGCGTAAGTTCAGGAAAGAGATTTTTCAATCATCGAATTTAAAACGATTTTTTTGCTTGAATTCATCACAATAGTAAGAATTGTGTAGTGCAGATTCCTTTGAGTAGAAACTTGTAATTATAATTTAGTATTTGTCTCTCTTGACTAATACAAAACAGGAAATTAGAAAGACGATAAATCCGGATTATAACATGTAATTCAGGTATGAAAATGAATGACAGAATTTTAATTAAACTGAGATCTATACTTGAACAACCTACGACATCTGAATTATTCTAATATTCATTTGTTACATATATAAAAAATAAATAATTAATGAACTCATAATCTAAAATATTTATTGATTCGACCATTATTAATTATTTTCTTTTCTAGGTTTGATTAAATAATATTATAGAAATATGGCTGTATCAATTTCAATCATATTCCAATGTCTAGTTCTTTAATTCCCTAGTCTATGTATATAAATATATACATGAACATATATATATAAATATATATGCAACAAAGAAATAGGACTACTTTTTTTCTCTTCTCTCTTCGTTTACTTTTATGTTCGTACAAGTATTAGAATGTACTAGATCACAATAATGGATTAATTTAATCGAGTAAAATTTATAAAATATTCTTTGTTTTTGTCGCTTTCTGTCTACGTATGTTGTGTCGGTCAAGTCAGATGAGTGTGCATTATGTTTTTTCTTTTTTCGTTTTTTTTTGTAAAATCTCAAGATCTGAAGATAAATTCCAGGAGTCATTTTTCTTTTTTTTAAAATTTGTTTGTTTTATTTTATTTGGATAATTATGCAAAAAGACAAGACACAAAAAAAATTTCTAAATACCTCTTGCACTCTTTCTATGCCT